TGTGTGTGTGTGTTTGTTTGACAGTCTGTGTTTATGTGTGTGCACGGTGAGGAGAGAGGGGGTAAGATTGTTGGGAAATAAAGAGTCCAAAAAGACCATGAAAAAACAAAAGGAAAACCAAACAAATGAAACTGTAGTGGAAATTCCAGGTGATAGTGGAACGGAACCCTTTCCAGAGAGTTCGACTGGAAGGGAGTTTTGAGGGTTCTTTTGGAATGCGCTTGTCTACGGTTACAACTTCAGTGTTCCGTCATCAATTGTTACCTAGACTACGGCTGCTCCCAAAGGAATCCAGAATGGAGGATGTGCTGCTCTGGACACTGGATACAGAATCATAACGCTTGGAGGAACAAGAGAGGAATAAATGTTACTGAACAACAGCACTGCTAATCATTAAATAGCAATGTATTATGTATACACCACACTTCAATCAGGAATTGAATCTGATCTGATTGATAAAAGACACAAATACTTTTCAACTTAAAAAAAAAAGAAATAAAACTGAGATCCCAATGGTAATAATGATTTCTGGCATACTAACAATGCATGGAAGTAGTATGATTACTAAAGTTATTAATTATTAATTATTAACTAAGAGAAATATTGAGCTAATTATTCCAGTAACAAATGCAACAAAACAGTTTTGAATTAAACTTAGTAGTTAATATATCTTGCCTTAAAGTTCAAAGTTGATATCCAGACTAACTAGTATAGTGTTTATATAAATCATAGTCATAATAATGTTTACTAATTATTATATCCCTCTATAATATACACAACCCTTTAAAAGTTTGCCAATTGTTATGACTTTTTAAAGAAATGAATACAAAGAAATTAGTTCAAAATTTGTAACTTTCCATTAATCAAAGAATCTTGAATTAAACTTAGTAGTTAATATATCTTGCCTTAAAGTTCAAAGTTGATATCCAGACTAACTAGTATAGTGTTTATATAAATCATAGTCATAATAATGTTTACTAATTATTATATCCCTCTATAATATACACAACCCTTTAAAAGTTTGCCAATTGTTATGACTTTTTAAAGAAATGAATACAAAGAAATTAGTTCAAAATTTGGTACTTTCTACTAATCAAAGAATCCTAAAAGAATGTATCATGTTTACATAAATACATTAAGCAACACAATCTTTTTCAGCATTGATAATAATAAGAAAAGTCTCTTGAGCACCAAATCAGCATATGAGAATGATTTCTGAAGGATCATGTGACACTGAAGACTGGAGTAATGACTACTGAAAATACAGCTTTACCATCATAGAAATCAATTAAATTTCTTTATATACATCATATAATAATAGCTCACGTGTGAACAGGTGTATGGGATCTCAGCAGCATGTGAACGATGTAGTTTTAATTACGATACAGTTTTATGGATTGGGTTGTTAAGTGTGTGTGTGTGTGTGTGTGTGTGTGTGTGTGTATGTGCTCACCTGTATGTGGCTCTGAGAGTTTGACAAATCATACATGGAGAGACTGAGTCTCTGTTTGCCACTGTGTTCCAAACCTGTTAAACAAACAGACACAAATCATTTAATTCATTTTCCTCTTAGAAAGAGTCTTAAATACTTGCACTTCTGCGGTTGATTCAGTACATCACATTATGTAACAAAAGTGATTCCATTTCAAATGTCTTCCTCAGTTTGATATTTACAAATGTGCGTCCAGCCACAGTAAAGCATTAGAATGATCTGAATATGGCCTCTCAACAATATGATCTGGGACATTCAGTGCAAATCTGCCATGAACAATTGGGGATCTAGGAGCGGGAATAAAACAGAAGGATTACGCACAGGTGGGTAGGAACGTAAATATTTGAGGTTACATGCTGAGAAGTTACGTGCTGCTGTGTGATGCTTTGAGGAAGTGAAATTGCACACTTTAAACAACACACACAGGTAATAAACAGGCTTGGAGTTTTAGGCAGATCTTAAAGTATCTCACCTGTGCCAGGACAGTTGTTGGGTCTGTTCTTCAGAGTGGAGTGTCTCACTGAGCCTGGTGACGCGTAGCTGATCATATGACTGCTGTTTAAGGTCAAATCAGGGTCATACATCATTTGACCAGCTCCTGCGAGCTCTGCCTTCCTTTCTGCAAAAGTGGTCCTTGTGGCACCTAAAATCATTCAAATTTCTACTTAAATATGTACTTTAAAAAATCAAATACTAAATAAATAACGAAGTCATACTGCTTACTCTGTTGCCCAATGTTGTAGCCAGAGTACTGTGATCCTCTCGGCTGGATGTAAGAGGGTTTGATGGTTGGGATGATGAATGGAACCTCCCGGCTGTCCGGAGGCAGTTTAGACAGCAGATAATCCTCTGATACTCCAACATTCTTCTTCACATTAGACTCAGCAGTTAATTTACCAGGAGGTCGAACCTTAATCACTTTAAAATAGTTAAATGTATACAAATACACCTTTCATAACTCATATATGTAGTTACATTTATATACAATATATTGTGTGTATGCAAACGAAAACAACAATCACGAGGAGGTATAGGGGAGAGAGAGACTTACTCTGAATTTCTGGTTCATTTTTCTTGGACGTAAATGTCCTGCAGCAGTTTTTGACACATTCTGTCATATTGAGGATCTGCACAAAAATCACAAACCAATCACGTAAAATGGCTGAAAATAAGATATTTATATGAATTTACATGAAACTGTCCAACAGTAGACAGAAATCTATCCTTTCTGGTCACCAAACGTTTCCAAAACAATGTCAATATCATCACGTCAACTTATGTTTTGTGTGCAGTAGAATTTTGTGGTGGAAATAAATATATTTTTGAGAGAGAATAAATGGCAACATTGGTTGCTGTAGTGGAAATAACGACACATTCAAATTACTGAAAATACGAGCTGAATAATTTTCACATAATTTCACTAAATAATTTATTTCACTCTACATTATCAACGTTTTATTCATATAATAATGGTTTTTTTGTGGTGAGATTGAAAGTTGTGATTGGGATAACGTTACAATAAAACATTACAATCTACACATCAAAGACATCTAAAAATTGATGATTGAGGCAATTGATGAATGATTAAGGCATTAACAACAACAAAAAGCCAAGGCATAAAAGTGCCCGCAGTAGCCCAAATTTGATGCAGAAATACATAAAGCATAAATATATAGGATACATAATACGGTAATAATTTTTTTTTTTTAACAATCAAGATTAACAGCGTTTTTCCTTTTTGACAAAGAATATGTTTGTGTATAAGGTTGTACGAACTTGTGCTGCTGTCGGCGAGGAGATAAATCTCTTAGTTCTCGAGTGCTGCAGGTGCTTCCAGTGAACGGCAAAACTTCTGCCTACGGCTGGGTCCTAGTGTCCGCCGGTCCCCAACAACACTGCTCAGGAAAAACACCACACTGTCTCTTTTTGATCATTGTGACACAAACGAAAGTTTACACTCCCACACAGTCAGGCATATTATGTATATTGATTCTTCAAATCTTCAAAACCTCGTTGTTACTGACCCTTTGTGATGACTAATATGTAGGCCTACATCAAAATTCAGGTCCTTGGCTTATTATCCTCATTTTATCAAATGGCAAAACTTTCTAGGAACGAATCTAAATTTGCTAATAGTAAACACAAACCAACAAAAGTTCAGGTCATCAAATTTGTATTTATTGATTGACCAGGTTCTCTTTACCCGTCAAACAAAAACAGATACACAGAGGAAATTCTGCACAGATGCAATAAGAAATTCTGAGCCAAAATACTTTTTATTACTGAAAATACGAGCTGAATAATTTTCACATAATTTCACTAAATAATTTATTTCACTCTAGATTATCAACGTTTTATTCATGTAATAATGGTTTTTCGTGGTGAGATTGAAAGTTGTGATTGGGATAACGTTACAATAAAACATTACAATCTAGACATCTAAAAATTGATGATTGAGGCAATTGATGAATGATTAAGGCATTAACAACAACAAAAAAGCCGAGGCATAAAAGTGCCCGCAGTAGCCCAAATTTGATGCAGAAATACATAAAGCATAAATATATAGGATACATAATACGGTAATATTTTTTTTTTTTTAACAATCAAGATTAACAGCGTTTTTCCTTTTTGACAAAGAATATGTTTGTGTATAAGGTTGTACGAACTTGTGCTGCTGTCGGCGAGGAGATAAATCTCTTAGTTCTCGAGTGCTGCAGGTGCTTCCAGTGAACGGCAAAACTTCTGCCTACGGCTGGGTCCTAGTGTCCGCCGGTCCCCAACAACACTGCTCAGGAAAAACACCACACTGTCTCTTTTTGATCATTGTGACACAAACGAAAGTTTACACTCCCACACAGTCAGGCATATTATGTATATTGATTCTTCAAATCTTCAAAACCTCGTTGTTACTGACCCTTTGTGATGACTAATATGTAGGCCTACATCAAAATTCAGGTCCTTGGCTTATTATCCTCATTTTATCAAATGGCAAAACTTTCTAGGAACGAATCTAAATTTGCTAATAGTAAACACAAACCAACAAAAGTTCAGGTCATCAAATTTGTATTTATTGATTGACCAGGTTCTCTTTACCCGTCAAACAAAAACAGATACACAGAGGAAATTCTGCACAGATGCAATAAGAAATTCTGAGCCAAAATACTTTTTTTTAGTCTTCCCTGGGAAACGGGTACTGAAGGTGCGCTGCAGACTCCTGTCAGAGATATTTATTTATTTTCAAAAACGTGATTTTGTAGCCTGGCAGCTCTCTCACTGCTTGGGGTCATCAAAGGTCGAGAACAAATGAAAGCGGAGATCAAATACTCGCATTCACAGTGAGAAAATGTGACACAGGTGCCACTAAAAGTAGAAAAACAAATCCAGCTTTACAACAAGAAAAAAAACAAGACACTTAAGGATCTGCAATTGTGGCAAGAAAAAGCACAATGGGAAGTGTAGAACAAACAAGAAAAAACACAACATAAATATTCTTCTGTGTACTGGTACATGTGTGTGGCTGCAGATGACAATGACAGCCAGGCAGCCTAATGAAAAACCTGCATTATGAAATATCAAACATCAGCACAAGCTCAGCCCACTACAGAGCAGACAGAGACGGTGAAGACCACATGAGAGTCCAGATCCACAGAACAAACAAAATGAGGAAATGCAGCTGCCTGACGGGTAGTGCAGTAACAGGAAGTCCAAGATAGAGGTATGGGGCCATGAAGAGGTGAGAGGTCAGAGGTTCATTTATAAAGCCTCAGAATGGATGTTCAGAGACAAATACTGTGAGGCGGATTATTGAACTGCCACGGAAGTTGATGACGTTGTTAACCGTAACCATCTCTAGATCTAGAACGATAGTCTTCGGTCCTTTAATGGGCCGGGCCAGAACCAAAGTTGCACTGATATTACTGGTTTGCTGTGGAAAGAAAGGGAAAGAATGTTTTCATATTTTTTAAATTCATTCCGAGTCTGTCACTCTTTCTCTTCAGAGTTGAAACACTGCTTGCCCACATGGACAAATTATATGAAAACAAACCCTTTCAACAATTTCAACTGATATTTGATTAGCTAAGGGACTCCTAGGACCCATAAAGATTTTGTGGTTTGGCTCCAGAGTAATTTTACCAGGCTCACAGAAATCCTACAGCTCCCTCTAGTGATCACCTTTATATATAAACTAACATTAAAAAGTATGCAGTCTGTAAGATGTTTTAATCGTTTTTGAAAGACTTCTCTTATACTCACCATAGCTGCATTTATTTGATCAAAAATACAGTAATATTGTAAAATATTATTAAAATTTTAAATAAGTAAATCATTTTAAAATGTAATTTATTCTTGTGATGGCAAAGCTGAATTTTTACTTCAGTCTTCAGTGTCACATGATCCTTCAGAAATCATTCTAATATGCTGATTTGCTGCTCAAGAAACATTTCTTATTATTCTTATTATCTTATTATTATTAATTTGGTGCTCAATAAACATTTCTTACTATTTTAATTTAAAACAGTTGTTTAATTAATTTTTATTGAAAGTGTGATCCATATTTTTTTCAGGATTCTTCAAAAGAACAGCATTTATTTAAAATAGAAATATTTTGTAATATTATAATTGACTTTATTATCACTTTTGATCAAATGAACGCATCCTGAATAAAAGTATTAATTTATTTTTTAAAAATGGTTGACCACAAACTTTTGAACAGTAATGAAGGTGTTTTATAACAGGCATCAGTTATACAAACAGAAGCCCATTTACCCGCATGTAAAACTCTCGCCCCTCGTTGCCAGACTTGATCTGATACTTGTGCTGCTGTCGGCGAGGAGATAAATCTCTTAGTTCTCGAGTGCTGCAGGTGCTTCCAGTGAACGGCAAAACTTCTGCCTACGGCTGGGTCCTAGTGTCCGCCGGTCCCCAACAACACTGCTCAGGAAAAACACCACACTGTCTCTTTTTGATCACTGTGACACAAACGAAAGTTTACACTCCCACACAGTCAGGCATATTATGTATATTGATTCTTCAAATCTTCAAAACCTCGCTGTTACTGACCCTTTGTGATGACTAATATGTAGGCCTACATCAAAATTCAGGTCCTTGGCTTATTATCCTCATTTTATCAAATGCCAAAACTTTCTAGGAACGAATCTAAATTTGCTAATAGTAAACACAAACCAACAAAAGTTCAGGTCATCAAATTTGTATTTATTGATTGACCAGGTTCTCTTTACCCGTCAAACAAAAACAGATACACAGAGGAAATTCTGCACAGATGCAATAAGAAATTCTGAGCCAAAATACTTTTTTTTAGTCTTCCCTGGGAAACGGGTACTGAAGGTGCGCTGCAGACTCCTGTCAGAGATATTTATTTATTTTCAAAAACGTGATTTTGTAGCCTGGCAGCTCTCTCACTGCTTGGGGTCATCAAAGGTCGAGAACAAATGAAAGCGGAGATCAAATACTCGCATTCACAGTGAGAAAATGTGACACAGGTGCCACTAAAAGTAGAAAAACAAATCCAGCTTTACAACAAGAAAAAAAACAAGACACTTAAGGATCTGCAATTGTGGCAAGAAAAAGCACAATGGGAAGTGTAGAACAAACAAGAAAAAACACAACATAAATATTCTTCTGTGTACTGGTACATGTGTGTGGCTGCAGATGACAATGACAGCCAGGCAGCCTAATGAAAAACCTGCATTATGAAATATCAAACATCAGCACAAGCTCAGCCCACTACAGAGCAGACAGAGACGGTGAAGACCACATGAGAGTCCAGATCCACAGAACAAACAAAATGAGGAAATGCAGCTGCCTGACGGGTAGTGCAGTAACAGGAAGTCCAAGATAGAGGTATGGGGCCATGAAGAGGTGAGAGGTCAGAGGTTCATTTATAAAGCCTCAGAATGGATGTTCAGAGACAAATACTGTGAGGCGGATTATTGAACTGCCACGGAAGTTGATGACGTTGTTAACCGTAACCATCTCTAGATCTAGAACGATAGTCTTCGGTCCTTTAATGGGCCGGGCCAGAACCAAAGTTGCACTGATATTACTGGTTTGCTGTGGAAAAAAAGGGAAAGAATGTTTTCATATTTTTTAAATTCATTCCGAGTCTGTCACTCTTTCTCTTCAGAGTTGAAACACTGCTTGCCCACATGGACAAATTATATGAAAACAAACCCTTTCAACAATTTCAACTGATATTTGATTAGCTAAGGGACTCCTAGGACCCATAAAGATTTTGTGGTTTGGCTCCAGAGTAATTTTACCAGGCTCACAGAAATCCTACAGCTCCCTCTAGTGATCACCTTTATATATAAACTAACATTAAAAAGTATGCAGTCTGTAAGATGTTTTAATCGTTTTTGAAAGACTTCTCTTATACTCACCATAGCTGCATTTATTTGATCAAAAATACAGTAATATTGTAAAATATTATTAAAATTTTAAATAAGTAAATCATTTTAAAATGTAATTTATTCTTGTGATGGCAAAGCTGAATTTTTACTTCAGTCTTCAGTGTCACATGATCCTTCAGAAATCATTCTAATATGCTGATTTGCTGCTCAAGAAACATTTCTTATTATTCTTATTATCTTATTATTATTAATTTGGTGCTCAATAAACATTTCTTACTATTTTAATTTAAAACAGTTGTTTAATTAATTTTTATTGAAAGTGTGATCCATATTTTTTTCAGGATTCTTCAAAAGAACAGCATTTATTTAAAATAGAAATATTTTGTAATATTATAATTGACTTTATTATCACTTTTGATCAAATGAACGCATCCTGAATAAAAGTATTAATTTATTTTTTAAAAATGGTTGACCACAAACTTTTGAACAGTAATGAAGGTGTTTTATAACAGGCATCAGTTATACAAACAGAAGCCCATTTACCCGCATGTAAAACTCTCGCCCCTCGTTGCCAGACTTGATCTGAAAGATGTAAAATGCTCCAGGGTAACGTGTGGTGGCCTGCATTTGAAATATATCAGCAGGAACACTGCGGCCAGAAGACAAATCCATATGTCTGTACAGAATAGTGAAGGGTTGTTCCCGACAAGCGGGATTCTCCGCAGAGCACATGCACTGACTGAGAGAGAAAGAGAGAAGTATATTCAGAACATGCTGCAACTGTTCAATAAAAAGTCAAATGACTGACTAACTGACTAAAGTTTTCTTTTGTCAACATTCATGAACTCACTTGTCACTGAGCTCTATGTAAGGTGGATTACATCTAAGAGTCTAAGAGGATGTGTAACCTCCCTGGAAATTGAAACACACTTGTGCTGTTGTACAGGTGTTGTTACCAGACTCACATTCATTGAGGTCTTGAAAATCAAACACACAACAGACAGAAGTCAGGTTATCAATATCATCAAGATCATTAACAGCAGCAACAATAACTACAACGTCAAGGAAGCTAAATGGTGCAGCAGATATGAAATAGCTACTCTCAGCAAATTACCTGAGAAAATGGCCATAAATATTTCTTACTCGCTATGAAACTTCCTTCTTGATTTTATTTTTTTAAAAGTCTCTCTCTCTATACACACATATATACATATTATGCATACTGAAGGAAAATGAAGCAAGTCATTGCTATTAGCATCATATACAACACAAAACGGTTTATCTCTCTGAAAAACTGCACTTGACACAAAAATGTGAAGACATATTTTAGTTTTAATGGTTTAATTTGAGAAATATTCCACATTTGAGTCACAACAAGGAGAAATGCAACTACGAACACTTAGAAAAACATTTATAACACAATATAAATGATGGAACAAAATCACATTGAAAGAAGCACACAAAATAAAAATGTAGAGATACCTTCACAGCTCCTTCCATCCTCATACACGTAATATCCAGGCGGACAAATGCAGGAGAATGATCCTGGCGTGTTCACACACGTGTGCTGACAAAGGAAGTCTGAGAAACTGCACTCGTCCAGATCTAAGGATGGGTAGTGATAAAGACAGACACATCACACACTATCAATGCACACAGTCCCACATACAAAATCAAGCAACACACATCTTAAACCTTTCTCTAAAAGCTCTAAATTGTTCTTGGTCCCCTGTCTCTCTCTATTCTTATCGTCTCTTCTCCTCCTCTTATTACCATTGCAGGTGGTCCCATCAGAGGCGAGCTCGAAGCCCTCATCACAGGTGCACATGAATGAGCCGTATGTGTTCAAACAGCCGTGAGAGCATGGGTTTGTCTCACACTCGTCCACATCTGGCGAGGCAGGAAGAGGAAGAAGATGGCAGATGTCAAGATTTTCAGTAAACTCTCAAATGAAACAATAATGATGTTCTTGTGTATGTGTGCACCTTGGCATGTCCTGCTATCAGCATTAAGAAGGAATCCAGGGCTACAGGAGCAGGAATATGAGCCAGGGACATTAGCGCACAGCTGCTGGCAGTAACCATAGCGACACTCATCAACGTCTAAAGAAAGGTGAGTTAGAGAGCACTAAATACGCAAACAGTAGTCACAACTGAATTAAGACATTGTTTGGTGTCAAATAAGACTGGATTATTTCATTATTTAAACATCAAACAAACAAAGTAACAATTTGAATGGTCATATAATTGAACCTTTTTTTTTTTTACACTACTGTTCAAAAGTTTGGGGTCGGTAAGAATTTTTATGTTTTTACAAGTCTCTTACGCTCACCAAGGCTGCATTTATTTGATCAAAAATACAGTAAAAGCAGTAATATTGTGAAATATGACTAAAATTGAAAATAAATTGTTCTATTTTTGTGTACATTAAAATGTAAGTTATTCCTGTGTTAGCAAAGCTGAATTTTCAGCAGCCATAATTCCAGGCTTCAGTGTCACATGATCCATCAGAAATCATCCTAATATGCTGATTTAGTGCTCATGAAACATTTCTTATAATTATTCATGTTTAAAATAGTTGTGCTGTTTAATATTTTTTGTAGAAATCATGATGCACTTTTTAGGATTCTGTGAGGGGAAAAATAGATCAAAAGAACAACACTGATTTGAAATAGAAATCTTTTGTAACTTTACTCTCACTTTTGATTAGTTTTATACATCCTTGCTGAATGATATAATATTAGTTATTTTAACAAAATCTCACTTACCTCAATGTTTTGAACGGCAGTGTACTTTAACATAACGAAAACTGCTTTATTAAAGGATTTACCGTGTTCATGTTGTGTCACATGTAGACATCACAAATTAAAGCATATAACATCAAACTGTCCATTCATAATGTCTGTAAATCTTACCTTGGCACTGTCCACCCACCAGCCAGTAGCCCTCAGTACATGAGCAGGTATATCCACCGGCTGTATTTATACACACCTGAGTCGGGTTACACTGGTGTGACTCTGCCTCACATTCGTCAACATCTAAAAAAATGAAAGATAGCCACAGTCAGCTCCCACTTGTACTTTTCCCACCACTATCCACTTTAGAAACTCACCTAAAACAATTCGCCTTGATGTATGTAACTTCACAACACTTAAATGTTTCATTATCATCAGAATACTGATACAGAATACGTCATCTGTCCCACTGATAGCTTGCCCTCTGTGGACAGATGTTCTTTACTTTAAGCTTAGCAGGTCTGTTACACCTCGAACTCCATCCCGACCTCATAAATCTTACCTTACTATCACATCTTACACAAATAGCTAGTCTTACACAATGCATTTCCAAAACTGGAGTTCATATCTCTCTGTTCCACTCTCGCTCACACATTATCAGCACAATTCCTTATGAGGGCATCATATGCTTTAAAAATACCCG